AAATATCTTTTCAACAAATTTTCAATATAAATGCTCTTTTAATGTTGAAATTCATGAATAATATAAAATTTGATTGTGATCAATATGATGATATCATTGTGCACTTATTTATCTATGTAAATTTTTTTAACGAATAATGTATATCAACATTGACAATAACATCAAACAACAAATTTTTTTTTTACCAAAACAATCAGCTTTGAAAGCTCTACAAACCCTGCAAGTTGCATTTCAATTTAAAATAATCATTTGTAAAGACTATAGATCTCTGTCTCGGATGATCTCAAAGAATATAGGTGAAATAATACTGTTTAACAAATTTGTCTCAATATTTTAACTAAATCAACAGGGTGAAGAATTCTGAACTATCAGGTTTGTAGAGCAAGTGACGCTCTATCGAATACACTATACCAGTATATCGAGCAATTCGGCTTTCTGAAATAATCAAGAGCTCTATTTTTTGTGTCGTCGATGACCAGTCAGGGCATGTGTGGCCAAAATTTTTTTTTCGAAACTCAAATCAATTTTAACATGATTCGATGCGTCTTTTTGCGAGGGATCCGAATATGGTCTTGGATTTTATTTGTAACTTCGTTTTAGTGAAGAAAGCTATCAAAAACCATAAGTCAAGATTATGCAGAAAACCTGGTTTTTACATATTACTGATAATGCCTGATAACAGTATTTTGAGCATATCTTCATGAAAACAAAAGCTTTTTAAAATATTTTTTTTATCAAAATGCTTAGAATTAAAAGCTCTACAAACTCTGAAAGTTTCATCAAAATCGGAGATCACTTTTGTACAGTGTGTCAGAGATCCGATGGAAATAGTCTAAACGTAAAAACATTGACGCTATTATCACATGTTACTTTTTGAAGGACATACACGTGTGCACAGAGAAGAGAAACATTCTGCACCATAATAAGCGAAAGAAAATGAGTTGACACATTTTTTTTATTGTTGCTCAACCATGGTAATATTTATTTCATTTTTCTCTCTTACGTTAACTTTTGCAAGAAATATAATTAGTTCTTAGATAGACGGTATGAAGTTATCAAGAGCCGTTTATCCTGCAATACATATCAATGTAAAGAAGTACCAACAACATATTGATGACAATGCCCGAATACTTTCGTCAAACAGTTCTTGATTGTTGAAAGATTAGTAAAAGAAAGAGTTGCATTGTTTACATTTCGATTTGGAAATATCGCAATAAATATCTTGTTGACAATAGTATTCTCAAGTCGAGCTTATTTTGAGTGAGAGTGGTGGAAGTTGACTTCAATGAAAAAACAGAGATGTCTACCGCGACCGAAAGCTCATTTTTCCTACATAAGTGCTGAATGCAGTCCTTGATACACCTAGTAAACATGTTGATATAATCCAAAGCTTCTCTATTTATTTCATGGAGTCTCTGCAAAAACATTCGGTTGTATATTATTCTCTTATACTGTCAATGGATAGTCAAAGTCATGGGATCAGAATCTTAATCAAGACCGACATGGCGATGATGATTGACTTGACTTACTCCTTACCATCAATATAATCAATGTTTCTATCGTCCACATTTAAATGAAATTATTTTGCTGATATAATTTAAAACTCAGCATTTGAGTGACGAACCATTTACTTGTGGGTTATTTATTATTGATAATTGGTACAAAGTATCTGAAATCAAACTGATGAGATTGTTAAGCAAAGTCGAAAGACATTGTGTTAGCTTTTTCAGAATTCTTCGAAATTGTTTGTTGACTTTTATTTAAACACATCATGTACCCTCAAAACATTTTTTATAGCTTGTTTTTGTCCGTTCAATACTGCCACAATGTAGCATATTTTTTCTTGAAAATTTCATTTTTCAGGGTTATTGTCTGATTGGTCTGAATCTTCAGAGAAGCTCATAGTTCGTTATGCATATGCAATAAACATTACACTCACATCTTCGATTTTTTTTCTATCGTACAAAAGTAATCATTGAATACATGAATTATTACATCGAACATGCACCATGAAAACTATTAAAAACATAAATATTCTTCCATTCGAATTATTAGATGATTTTTCTTTTTTTTATTCAAATCAATGTTTAGAACAGAATAAGAAGAAAGAAACTTGAATCGGTAAGATCTCTGTTGCGCCTGATAACGAAATCTCTGGATATATCATTGAATCACTTATAAGAACTATGTTATCGGCTATGTTTAGAAGTTGTGGGTGATCACTCGTTCGGTTTTCTCGTCATTATACAAAATATACTTTGCAACTGTTAAGCGGATCAAAATTATGATGTATACTATCGCAGATAAGTAAATAATAATGAACATTGTTGGCGAACAATATTGCTACATGACCAAATCTCTCTATTATAGAATTAGCTGCACGCATTAATAAGAAGACTTTGTTAGTTAAATGGATTAGCTCACATTCAATTGCTGCTATACTATGAACAATGTCACCTACAATCATTACTTTTTCATTCGGCACCAATGTTGCAGTGTGACTCACATAAACATTAAAGAATCATTTATGATGAACTCAAAAGAGTTATTGTATGCAGAGGTTATTCCGATAAGAGAAAGAAAAACAGATAACAAGGGAAATAGAGTGACCATGTGACTAAAGTACACACCTGGCAGAAAACCTATTGTTTGAAAAGCAGTCTGTTGCAGCTTTATATTGTTCTACAGACTCAAATGGACCGATATTGTAGTCATGTGCGAGAGGAACAGAGTAATCCTGTAAAATTAATGTACTGATGTGACCCTATGGTGCAGTAAAAATATTATTGAAAAGATTGATTGATAATTAAAACTCACAGTGAATGAAAATTCTCGAAATTAATTGAAGAAAAAGATTTTATAAATTATCTTACTTCTCTATATTTTATACATTCTTAATATGGACGACAATATAGAAAGTTAATATGTCAATAATCATCCATAACCAAAAATCTGATATATTTATCGGATGTCCCAAAATGTTTCGAAGTAATATTTATTCTGCATATGTATCTTCATTGATGAATGATAAGATCCTGTTTTTTAAAAAGGGAACTTTTTTATATGTCATCTAGCGTAATTATATGAATGCCACTTATCCCTCACATCCACAACCCATCCTGTGATGAACAATTACGAAGCATAGAAAAAAAAATGAGCGTGTTTAAAGAAATAAAAGAAACAAAAAAAAATTTAGTCCATGTGATATGAAATACTAAGTTTGCTGTCTTTTTCTTATTATCAATGTGATTCTATCGTTTGATTTATGACAACGAGTTTCGTCACAATAAGTTCATTGAAGCCAAATAACAATCCAATTTTTCTCGTGTTCAACAAAGAATGAATTTTCTTGATGTAAATGACTATGATTGATAAGCCATTGTCGAAGATTTTTACTGACCTCATCTGTCAACAAACCTCTGATACAAAGGCAACGAATATTATTATCTTTCCATAATAAAAGCACTTGTAGAATAAGTGAATCGATGATAGCTTGTGGATCCTCCAACCATAGGCTAAGATCACGAAGATTATTCAACTTTTGTGCAATGGTGTCTAATTGTATCAAATCACCGTCATGAAAATTGATAATTTCAAGATATACAATTCGTTTCTGCAATAATTCACATGTAGATACATAGTTGAGTATAATATTTAAGCAACTGAAATCGATTTTTAAACGTCTGAGATTAGGAGCGGCTTGAACTAGATGAAATATGTCACATGGTTCTCTCACTTCGAGACGTTTCAACTGTGGTAAATGTAAGACAATTGGCTGAATTGGTTGACAAGTAACTATGAATTACAGAAATTCATATTGGTTATTCAAAAAACTAAAAAAACTGGAACATAAAAATTTGATGTTTCTCGATAAAAACTCAGCGTCTCGATTAAAACTCTAGTAGAATACAAATTCTTTCAAGATTTTTGTAGTCTGGTAGTTTCCTCAGTGGCAGATCTAAGATTTTTTGAGTATTCGATATCTCGTCTTCAGAGCATGGGACCCAGACGAAATTTATGGAGGGTGATATTG